TTTACTGGTAAAAAGCCAACATCACAGTGGGCTGGTGGTGGTGGTGGGGAACTAACCCTGAAGCCAACGGTACAGAATGAACACATATGGACACAGAAGGTGCTAGGGACAGACAGACATTAGATTATTCATACTACTGTAAGGTATGCCCTCAGAAGCCTTACAGACAAACACCCTGATTTACCCAAATACCCTTCATACACATACTCCGATGTTTTAATTTCAGGAAAAAGTCATGCCCTGTGTTTTGGGTGTTACACGAATAAGGAAGTATTGAAGAAAAATCCTGGAAGCAAGTGGAAATTCCTAAATGCTACCCACGCTGGGAGGAACAGGTTATACTTGTTCATTGGGCAGCTCTACAGACACACACGGTTCTGCAGAATAGGCAAGGAAATTAGACTTGCTCTCATTAGACTGAGAAACACTGTAAAAGACACTCCCACTCACAGCTTCAATTGTGTAACTTGTTTCTCCAAATGGTTCAACTAGCCAACAGGATAACTCCTGCTCCAAGCTGCACCCACCTAATTATTAACTAAAATATCTCACATGCATTAGCATTCACTGGTTTACTCCAGATAGCAACCACACCATGAGTTAAAAAGAACACAAATCACAGAGAAACACAAAAAATAGCACTGGTAGTATTAAGACATCTAGTCTGTTACCGAGTCCTAAAGCAGTGCGTCACATATCTTTCTAGTATGCCCTAGAACAATACATGAGCTTAAAAGAGGAATGCTTCATCGAACAAGGGAAAATTTTCAGCATATATACCAGCACTGGATAAGCAGATTGAAGTGGTCACGCAGAAGAAGAAAAGTTTACATACACTGAGCATGGTTATGCACAAGCAAGAGCAAAGACAAAAGGTTCAAGGGAGGCCTTGCCTATGTTCTTCAAACATCCAGTTGGGACCCTTGAAAATACTCCTTTTGGCAACACAAAGGAAAAGAAAAATATGAAAGGTCTATGCAGAAGAATTCTTAATGGCACAGTAAAAATATTAACAGCAACTCTACATATCAATGGCTTGAACAAGTTCAGACACTGGCCTGGGACAGTGAAGCTGAACATTGGCATTCATCTTCTACACCAGAGCATGTGAAAAACAGATTGGATATCTCAATTCATGAAGAAGACCCACCTCCACTAATGGTTCACCGCAAGCAATTCAGGTCTATTATCTGCCATTAGGAAGAACTTCCTAACTAACCTTCAAAGTCTTGCTGTTTAGAAAATATTTGCCATTACTTTCATTGCTTTCCCCGTTTAAGACAGTAGGGCAAACTTGCAGTGCCATAAGATTTTAAGTAGGTAGCTTAAAAAGAGACATTAAGTACATACTGATCACTGTACTACATGAAGGTTAGAGATTTCACTGGCTATATTAGGCAGTTTCCCAGACAAGAGTATAAGACTGTAAGAATTTAGGGTGCATTTCCCTAAGTTTCCACATACACTAGTGGCCAGAAGACCAGCCGTAAGCACAGGGACGTCAAGTTTTTTCCCCAAAACAAGCCCAACTGTAGTAGAGTAAATCATCAGTATATATTTGTATCCTCACTATTTGACAGATCTCATGCAGAGCACATAGGTCCAGCCTATTCCATCAAGTAACACCATGGATTATTATCCAAAACACACAAACTCCAGGCACTTGCAAACATATCCAAACACCTCTAAGAGCCTTACTTGGTCTCTTCAGTCAGAAAAACACAATTAGCATTACTTTCTTTCTAATTCCTAGCATTTTTTGTGTCCCAGCAAGTGCAGAGTAAAAAGAGCAGAGAAGCGAATGAAGAGCACAAGTAGGCAACCTTTGGAGAAGCCACAGAGCATTTCACTGCTTTTACCAAACACAAGGCAGTCAGCTGCACCATCAAATTCACTTGCAATAAACAACAAAAATTTTGTGAACTAAAAAAGGAAAGCTGCACTTGTTGGCAGCCAGACTGAAAAAAATAAATGTATTAGTTACAGATCTAATGCTAAAAATTTGATAAAATTCACTCTCAGAGGTAAGTGACCCATAAGGACTTCAGGTTGCAGTTCTAATTGGCTACAAACAAGACCTCCCAATAATTTCCAACTGGAACCAGACAGGATCCCTTTCTCTCTGTCACCAAGACATTCCCCAACAGACTTCAGGAACAGTTACATCTTGGGTAGACACCCCATGGGTTTCGCCTCGTGTTACGTTAATATTATTCTGAGTTGCAAAGTATGCATGTTTAGCCCAAGCTTACCATCGATTTCCCAATTGCCATGTTCCCACCTATCATGAATATCTGATGAGCCAAAGACAACAGCCCCACACATTTGTCTCTGCTTCTTTAAGCACAAGTCTGATAGCAGAAATTTCTCCTAATGAGATTAAAGTGGTTTTGTAAAAATACAATATTCATATTCTAGATAGCTAACCTGGGAACACTTCCCAGAGCAAAGCAGGCCTGTCAGACTTGAATAAAAGTCTAGCCCTCCAGGAGAACTCACCAAGACCACCAGGACAAGCATATGGCTCTTCCCGAAGCAAGTGAGGACCCCTGCTTTTTAGCTTCAGTGTCAGGAATCAGATACAGAGTTTGAGGGAGGACAGGTTACACTGCTCTGTTCTGCAACAGCTCATGCAGGGCTGAAACAGTATCACAGCATTTCCCTGGACTGCTTAGGATCAATAATAGGCAAATATTTTACCCATATTCTTGCACAGCTCGCTGTGTTGACACCTCTGCAAATGTCTGGCATCCCCTTTTTAACCAAGGTTGTTTCTAGTCATTTGCTCCAAAACAGAGGCTCTCACCGCTCACACTACCAAATGACAGGCAGGACAAGCAAGAAGCCAGAGCCACCGCAGCCAGTGACTTCTCAGGGAAGCCAACAACCTTCCTCTAGCTGCTGTCTGCAAAGCAGCAGTCCACCTCATGCTTTGGGAAACGTTTCAGCTTGTCATGTTTCTTGTATTCATTTTCAGAATCAGGCAGGATCCCAAATTTTTGGCCTTGGTTTTCAGTAACCGCAAAGTCTGAACAAGCCTGTTCTTAGCCGCCAGTGCTGCGAAAAGCTGCATGAAAAGTTTTAAGAACATTTACAGAAAAGGAAGAATGGTCACAAAAGCCCCAGCCCATGTAATTTTTAGGTAAGACTTTGCCATAGTCACTGGGCGCATGTTAGCTGTACCTGTTAGCGCTTGCGGAAGGTTTCAAAAGACATTTTCCACTTCTGTTGCTGCTGGAGCAGCGCCAGCTGACAGCTTTCATACCCATGGGAAGTGGCTAAAGCAATGCCGGTCTGAACTTGACTACATTGCAGGAGCTCTTAATAATAAGATCCCTTCTGGAGGACTCCTCCGTTTAGAAACAGTTGGGTTTTACTGTTAGGGACTACGCTGACTCCCCAAAGAATCCATGTTAGTAATATTCCACTTTATGAAAGGATGTCCAAGATTAATAGGCGTCTACTGATAGTCATGACTCAACATCTGAGCTACCATAGCTTTCTGAAGAAAGATGGAAGTGGTTCAGTACACAGCAACTTAGAACATGGGCAAGGTAACCATAAGGGCAGATGCAGATTAAAAGAAGGGGAGAATGGCAGGGGGTGGGGGGAGATAGAGAACAATCAGGTGCTGCAAGAATTCTCTAAAGTGGTATGCTTCCCAGGAAAAGTAACAAACTATAACCTTTCTGAGTTAAAGCACAGATATCTTAAGTTCTGTGAAGACTATTCCTACAGCTGGAATAGCAAGTTAGACTCTTCAGCCTGGAAAAAAGCACCTGGGGATATGGTAGGAAACTACAAAGGCATCGATGACAGATCAAGTGCATAGGGATCAGCTGCTCACTGCCTCTTCCAATACTAGGAATCATAGGCAAGGTAGGTAGATCCAGGCTCAAAAAAAACCCCAACAACAAATCAGCGCAATGGGTAACAGACCTATGCAGCTATTTGCCAGGGAAGAATACTAAAGATGTCTACATAAGCTCAAGGAGAAACTGGACAAGTATGTGGAAGAGAGATTCATCATGGGCTACCAATTAGACAAACCAAAATCCAAAGCTCAGGAAATCCTCTGAACCAGAAACAGTCAGGGGATGGAAAGAGGAGTAATCAAACTCTTCTTAATCCTCACTAGACATCTAATTACTGCAACTACAGAAGGAAGCTGGGCTAGATGAGCCTTTGATCTGAACCAGCACAGCCATTCTCACATATTCAAGCGAGGAGATATAGAATTACCTCTTCTCCTTCAAATTGGAAGACATACCCTTCTCTCCACAAAGAGGAGAGAGATTTCCCTTCTGCAAGCGTGGATGTCCATTTCAGTCAAAATGAGACAGATAAACAATGTTCACTTTACTTCCCACATTTCTCCACTTTGGAAGTCTGTCCTTGCAACGTTGCTTTACCTTCCAGAGTTAACAAACACGTCTTAAAAGCTTATCAAATTTCATCTTAAGAGCTGTTCCCGCGAGTTTTCATCTCCGCAGCTCCCCAGTGGAGTTTTTTTCAGAACGAGACTGCTCCTATAGTTAGGAACCTTCTAATTTCCATCCTGATCACAGCCAGCTTTTACCCATCTGTTCTTGTGCCAACAATTCTCTGGTTTTGAACTAAGCTGCGAGCCATCTGACAATGCTCACAATAATGGATCAATGGTCTATTACAATGAAGGAAAGCAAAAGGTCAGATCTGCATCACAAAACACCTATTTAATTTTGCACCTAAAATTCCAATTTACTCCAAACCCCAAAGAACAGTGTTGAAATATACACACACGCGCTTCAGATTCTGCATTAGCCTGCTATTGTCAAGTGAAAATGCAAAAGGATTTTTCTTAAACAGATCCCTCAGACTGGAAAGAATATAAAAAGTAAGTGCAGACCGGTAAATAACTTTATACCTATATCACAAACAATTATGCAAATAATTTATACAATAGGTGTAACAATAAAGAGAAAATAAATTCAGATACTAATAAAGTATAAAAAACTTACTTCCCAATGTTTTCAGGTAGTGCTTGCAGAGAGATGTCATTTACTGAAAGACACGTTAGATTCTGTAACTCAGGAAAGCTTTCGGGCAACCTATGGAGATATTAATTCAAATCAAGGACTTCCAGCAGAAGTATTCACATGCATTTAATACATACTGAAGAAGACGTAGTGGAAAACAAGAGTCTGTTTAGCAAATACACACAGAGGGAGGCATGCCCAGACTCCAGCATGACTCTCAGAAAATTCTAAGGATCATAGCAAGAAAAAAAAAAACATGGCTTAGAAACTTTAAAGTTTCTTCTGTGTCAAAGAACAGGCAATATCCTTGTCTGTCTCCTACCCCCTCTTTCCCCTGCCCCCAATTTGCAACTTTAAAATGCTACAGGGCTTGAGAACATTTTAAACATTTTAAAGAAATTTTTTAAAAAATCAAACATATTAAAAAAAACTTTTTACTGTTATTTTCCTGTATCACCTAGATGGTAAAATAAATGAAATATTTTTATTCAGGCTTCAGTTACGTACATGCTTACAGCACAGCCATTCCGTATTAGCTACTAGGCTGCTCTTCAATTGCTGCTTTTTGAAGAAACAGTGTGTTCAATGTGAAGACAGTATTCCGCTGTTAAAGCATTTCACATTTACTGGTTCACAACACAACAGCATGTAAACCCTCCCTTCTTACACTATAGAATGCAGCCATATGCAAAACACTCCCAAAGGTCCCAAAGCCTTTAGGTCCATCACCTGGTCGGTCTTCTGCAAGGCTTGGCTTCCCCTCTCCTCACACAGATGGATTCCTGTACCACTCGCTGCTCGCTGGCAGCCAGGTTGCACCAAGCAGCTCAGTTTGCAGTTGCATAGGAGACAGGGTGGGGTAAAAGGGGCAGTGAGGTACAGGAGGAGAAGCCCCCGGCCCAGCCATCCAACTTCTGCTCGACTCCCAGAGCATGCAACCTAAGCTCAAGCTGTAGCATTTGGTTTGGTTCCTGCTTTCCCCATCATGCAGCTCAAGGCCCGTGGTATGACCTGCACACAACTAGCCAAAAGGAGACACACACCTACGGGCAAGTACAACTGTCCATGATGGGGAAAGGGAAAAAGACAAATTACAACAGGGGGACAGGGAGGGCTTTTCATGTGCTCACTCCATACTGCACTTTTTGTCATCTTCTGGACCTTATTAACAGAACATGCTCAATATCTCCAAAATGTGAGCTCCACTGTAACTATTCATTACCATTTAGGCTCCAGGTTTAAGACTGGAGTTAAATGGTCTGATTATCTTTTGGTCAGCCCTGAAGTGGACAGTTGTTGGACTGGATGATCATTGTAGGTCCTTTCCAACTGGAACTATTCTATTCTGTCCTATCCATAGCATATAGTGGACTTCCAGTCTAATCTACAATAAATGCACCTGCTTTTTATTAATATAAACCTGAAATCATATGGAAACAGCTGGGAAAATGGTCTGCCAGCCACTTTTAGTGCTGCAGGTTCATCAATGATTAAGATTGACAATGAGGCAACATACTGTATTAGTGGTAGGACATTGATTGGGAAGGCCTCCAACTGGCTTTTAAGCTTAGAGGAAATAAGGACAAGAATCAATGGCTAAAAAAAGGTTCCAAGATATCACACAGAAAAGGAAATCACTACCAGACTTTCCCACTCTGCCTGGGCAAATTAGTGCCAAAACCTACATGCTGATATATAGGTAAAACTGAAATTCCGGATCTCATCACAGAAAATACCTGGCAGCCATGTGTAAACAGCTTCTGGTATCTGTGTTTTCTAACTTAGTAAACTGCTTGAAGTGATGTTTTCCAGGGCACGCATACACTTTGGAGCCACTTTATCAAGAATTTTTAAAATTCCCTTAAACTGTCAACAGAGAGTTATGAGATCTATTTCAACCCCATTAAAAAGCCTTTCAATTCTTTTGTTAATTCCACTCTGCCGTAGCTGTGCATTACAACTACTGTTTAAGGAAACACATTACTCGGGCCCCAGGCCTTATTCAGCACACAAAATGGAGAAGGATAACTAGCACACTGCTACAGACAATTTTGATTTCAATACCACGACATGCAGCTCTGAGCTTTATGTGCTGTACACTGATGCCTGGGAGAAAGCTGTTCAGTGACCCTTACCACTTGCGTATCTAAACATCAGTTCAGCCTCAGTTTGCTTTACTGGATTTTTGTGGTATTATTATCCTCACTATATAAATGGGCTACAGAGGCACAGGGATTAAGATCACAAGTGTCCCTTTAATGCTCAGAGATGGGACTTTCCAGAGAACTTCAGATGCACTATGGGCAATATTCAAAGTGCACTTCTGAAGAATCTCAGCTGCACACATGGGAGAAGCCGTCCTGCAAAACCACTGGAGCAGCTTAAGATATTACAGACACTCTCCTGTTTGTTAGCACTCCTGCATCCCAGCCAGCCAGCTAATCCTGCAAGTATTCCTAGCCCATCTCTGCAAAGCAAGGCAGGTCGGCGAGCGTCCACTGTGAATACTCTGGTTTATGTGACTTGCTCAGCATCACAAAGGAGCTCTGTGGCACCGGCCGGTTTAGGAAACAGTTCTCCACATAGTATTCAAAAGCCTTAACTAGCAGATCACCTCTTCCTTGCTATCTCCAGCCTCATTTCACTAGATAAATTCCAAATTCTTCAGCAAATGGAACAGAGAAATGTAAACAACTCCTCTTCTGTACTGAAAGCGTGTGTAATCCCCCAACCCCAGCTCATCAGAACACACACTGGCAGCAGCCGTAGCAGCCACCGACATAGGCAGTGCACTTTTGCCACATGTTACTGCATGTCACTGTGTCCCAATTGATGGGAGGGTGATGAAACGCTAGTCCAAGCTTTAATCATTAGTAAAAGCCATTATCTGCAGCGGCTCATCTAAAGTCTATTCCAAATCGTCAGGCACCTGCGTTTGTGCCAATGCATTCATGCTAACCATTGCCTTATCTCTCCCAAGTATGAGCATGGTTTTCCTTTGCACTTAAGAGTAATGAAAATTACTTAAGACACAATCAGATTTACATTTTTCCTGGTTGGCTAACAAATTTCATCCCCTCCCAGGAAAGATGCACATCACTTTTTAAATCTGAACTTTTGCTGCGGTCCCTGCCAGAGACAGACGCTGTTGGCAAGATTTCACAGAGATCCTAGATCACAATTTTTGAGGGCTTATTTAAAATTGTAATTGTTACAGCAAGATTGTAATTCTGGTATGGCAAGTACTAAGAAGGCAGAAGTTACCTAGTCAGTGGATTCCCACTGAAATCTGCTACCTGTAGTGCTCTGCAGAATGAGATGCTTTCTGGTATTTCAGGAATATCTGCAGAAGGAAAAAAAAAGGAAAAAAAAATTGTCAACAACTGTACTGCATCTACACTGAAATTATTGCCTCATTACATTCAGTAACTTGCTACTGCAAGGAGTTATCTTGGTATCTTTCAAGACATTTCAACATGCAAGACTGCTTCACATCCAAGTACTTGGCTATTGCGGCAGAGCCATTTTGTGCTTTTTCACATCCCATTTCCCCCTCCTGCTCCACCCTCATCTTCCTGATCCTAGACTACTCACCTGTCCTTGGACTGATCTTTATCAGCCTCTGCCCATCAAAAAAACCAGATCTCTCTATGTGCTAGGACTATCCTGAAGAACCAATTAAAATGTGAACCTCTTGTAATTTGATCAATACACGCCCACGATCTGTGCTGGCAGAAAGTAGGTGGGGAAGGAAAACAAGGGAAGGAAGAGGAGAATGTGCAAGTCTCTCCGCCTGTAACACACACTCATGGGAGTAGAACTGGCCTCCCCCACACTAAAGCCAGGTAACTTGAAAATATTATTCAAATATATGTCCCAAGTAAGTGCTAGTACACTATTTCAGATTGCCAGAAAGTAATCAGAGATATCTGTATGTGAAAACAGATATTTTTTTCAAGTATCTTCAACATAACACGTTTACCTACTGAAGTTAAAAATAAAATTGTCTTCTGGGCCTCTTTCATCAAGCTGTATTTCCACAAATAGGCTGTGGGTCCTCTGTGTAAGTCCTTGTTTACTGTCAGTGAGATCCAGCAAAAATGAAACATACATATTTGGTTTCCTTGTTTAACAATTTAGATTTTTATGACTCATCTTGAAAAGAATTCAAAAAGAAGAAAAGGCAAATCTTAAACTACAAATCTGACTTCTGTTTCCAAGTTTTTTCCTATTTCCATTTTTTTCTACAGAGCATTACATCTACTCCCTCTCCTCTTCCTGCTGTTCTCATCACAAATAATACTTCAGGAAATGTCTTCATAGATTTTCCTCATACAAGCAGCACCACTGACCTCAGCAACCATCAGTGATCTAAGTATGTTGAAAAATGCTTGGATATTAAGTCTCTTCCTACCTGAGTAACTCGGAATTGACTACCTATGTATTTCATTCAGCTCTTCTCCCCAGAAGTGGTGCAATGGAGGGAGAAGGGGAGGAGGAAAGAGAGGAAGAGGAAGGAGGGGAGGAGAGCACCTGCTCATGAGGTTCATCTCTTGCCAGGGAATCTGAGCAAATGCATCTATTTTGAATGATTCCCAACTCAGAACTGAACCCAGAGCCAGCAAGAACATCTTCCGAACCCACAGGTCACCAGTTGTGAACGATCAACGAAAGGGCCATAGAGGAGCATCTCCTGGGAACCTTCTGTTTCCTACATGAGTGGGAAGGGCTGGATTTCACTCTGTCCCAAGAGGTGCTTCCTCCTGGAATGGAGGCGAATCACTCTTGCCTCATGAACCCCAGTGCTCCCAGCACACTCCCCAGGCTCAGCTTCAAAAATATCCAGGGCAGATGGAGAAATGGTTCCTAATGATTACAAGTAACTCTGGAGTGGTCTAATCACTAACCCCAGAAATACACTGCATATTCAGAAAATATACTCACTGTTACTAAATATCAAAGTAATGAATGAGAGGGGTGAATACCCACAGTGTGAGGCATCAAAGAACCAAGCTGTGCTTCCACAACGCCAAAGCAAGCCACCTAGGGCAAGGTTCACTTGGAGTGGGGTGTGCAGCACAAATAGTTCCCTCAGTACACCTGGTGAAGGAGAATAAACTACTTTTAAATCTACACAAACCCTAAGGCCCGTCAACAGCAGTAGCTATCCCATAAAATGGAATAGGTGACTTTAGAGACCAAGTCTCATCAGAGATGTTTTATATGTTCTTACCCACCCACTCCTTCATAACAGCTTTGGTATTTGAGGGGAAACAGTTGATCTTTCCTGGAAAGCCAACAGCAATGAGATAAATTCAGAGCGAAACATTAGGTGAGGCCTTTGAGGTTGGAAGGGACTGGTCACACCGAGCCCCCAAGTGAGGATTAAGACAGCTCGCTCCCCTGTGGCAGCCTGCCTTACAGAAAGGCCAGACCATGTGGCAGGACTTCATAGAATCATAGAATGCTTTGGGTTGGAAGGGACCTTTAGAGGCCATCTAGCCCAACCCCCTGCAGTGAGCAGGGACAGCTTTAACCAGATCAGGTTGCTCAGAGCCCCAGCCAACCTGACCCTGAATGTTTCCAGGGATGGGGCCTCCACCACCTCTCTGGGCAACCTGTTCCAGTGCTTCACCACCCTCATTGTAAAAAATTTATTCCTTATATCCAGTCTAAATCTATCCTCCTTTAGTTTAAAACCATTACTCCTTGACATCAGCCTGGTGCAAAGGCCAGAGAAGTGCAGGGGCCACGATTTGGGACCCTGCGCAGGAGGCATCAGGCCAGAGAGCATCCAAGCCTTATGGTCAGGCTCTTCAAACCTCTTCATGGGTTTCACGTCATTCACAAGCCCAAATCCAGCAAAACACACACCAGTGACACAGTCAACAAGCAGAGTTTCCACAAAGAACCTCAGAAGTAGCCATGAAGCTACTGCAGGAGCCACAGGGCTCCCTCTTTCAAATTGGGGACACTTGAACAACCAGCCTATTTCAAAGTGTCACATTCGTAAGTGTCCCTGCTGGAGTCAAAACCTCACACTCCACTCCTCTCATATGGCAGGGACAAACAGGTCTGAATAGTGGCATTTGAGTAACTAAAAAAAAAAAAAAAAAATTATTAAATGATGACCTTAAAGTGATAAATTCTCATAACACTCTAAGTACTTAAAAGCATTTGCCTGTCACTAACACTCCAGAAAGTAAAAGCACTGACGTCATTGCAGGGACATTGCTCTGTCTTGCAAAACAGATGGCAAATAAACTACTACTATTTTTTTTTTCTTCTTGTTTTTTTAAATTAAATATTCATGTAGAAGCATTCACTTTTCAAAGGGTGTTCTAAGAAATACAAACAGTACACAGAAATTGAAACCTTCCCTTTCCCCACACAGAAATATACATAAAATCAAAAGAAAATCAAAACTGCATTTACAGACAGCAAAGCTGATGGTTTTACCCATTCCAGTCCTCCATGATTGAGCGCTGCCCGTAGAAGACTGAATTTGTACTACAGGATTATTGAAGACACAGGGCCTACGTGCACTCAATAGATGTTTTTACTACTACCTTGCATTACAGCAATGACAAACACTGATAGCTCTGCTAACCAGCAGCAAGTAAAGACGTGTGTCATCCACCATCTAGTCTTCATACCATCCTTCCCTGGATAACTAGCTGGAAAAGTCCTGAAACGGACATCACTCTTTCAAAGCTTCTGAGGGCTCAGAATAACTCCTTTCTTTGCAACCAAGCCAGTGTCCACAACTTTTATACATGAATATATGTACACACACGCATCCCTTTCATATACAGATACACACTTTCTCTGTGTGTGAATCATTCTCCCAGACAAAAAACAAAACAAAAAGCCCCACAAAAATCAAAGTTCAAGTAGAAGTAGCTATCCTAATTTGTTTGGAAAAAAATAAAAATAAATAATAAAAAAAAAAAGATATCTACACACAGAAAAATATAACATAAAGCAGAAGATAAACTTAAATCCTCAATGACAAACTTTCTGAAACTAATCATGCTACTGATTTCCTCCACCAATGTGTAGTTTCATTGCCATATTGCAAATAATTTCTCTTCTACTTCTGTATGATGGACTACAAAAACCAGAAAATATGCCTTCTCAGCAGAACTATTTTGATAAGCTTTTTCTGTTACAAGTCTTGGGTATCACCTGTAAAAGTCAACAAGTATCTGAGCTAAGTAAAAATTACTCCAATATAAGATACTACTTGAAATAAGACAGTACAGGCACTGCTTATAGTTTGGACACATTTGCAAATTACAAAATCTGTTCTGAAAATGAAATGCGCTTTCCTAGCCTAGATATTCCAGACTATGAAGTCATCACATGAGCAAAAATCTTCAATAAGAAATGGTAACAGGCACAGGGAAAAGAAGGGAAATTCCATTTCTACATTAAGCTTTTATTTGCATGTAACGTGCATTTTCCTCCCCGCATTGATACTTTTTCTGTATCTGATTCATTTTTCTCCTCCACCTAAGTGGACAAGGGACAGACAAAAATTCAGTGCATCTCTTTGAACTACACATTTAGTAAGTTCAATAAGGTTGAAATATAACTCGTTTTAATTGCAAGGCATCTTAAAAAGATTTCTCAGGCAAAATGCAACCAAGTTATAAGCAGATACTTTATCACTACATGTGAAGACTACTGTAACATTGCATTGAATAAATGAACTCAGAAGAGAAAAGGCAAGGAGTATTGTAGTATGTGACAAAAAAAACCTAGAGTGATTATTATAGCAGAGAAGATGATGGTCCGCATAGAAGCGTTGACATAATCAACTGAAATGCAACAGAGGATATTAAAGTATATAAAAATGACCTTCTGTCTCTTGATGGATTAAGCAGCTTTCACCATTACTGTTGACTACTCCGTTTCGTTACAGACATAACACGTACATCTCTGCCAATAGCAGCAGCAGGAAGGTTGAATGCTTTTCTTGCCACTGCTGGATAACCAGCTCAAATCCTACTTAGATATCTAGGATTCTTCTAATGCTGCACACTGACGAATGCTCTACGTTTACACGATGCCCCAGATGTTCTGGCATACAGATTGTGCAGCATTGCTAATAATAAAGCCATAAACCAAGCATAAGCCCTGTGACGTGACAATACAAATAAACTGGCAGCAAAAAGAAGTCATGCCAGCAGAAGTGGATGAAAATCAAGCTCGGCAGTCATGTACACAAGAGGGCATATTCTGCTCTCCCCCAATCAAAATAACCTCTTCAGATGTTTATCGTTCTAGTTTGCACAAGAATTCACTAACGATCTAGCAAGTCCTGTACAAGTGACTTAA